GTACATGGACTGAAGCACTATGCAAACGCGGGCATCAACGAAGGCAAAGTCTGTTTACACTGCAGTCGGGCGAGCGCGAAGATTGTTAAACTGTAGCCTAACACGTTTCAGAATGGGGTACATCATCAGCGGATCGAATCCCTGTCGTACATAGGACTGCAGTAGCTGATCGAGATCGGCCTCACGCTGTTCCAACGGCCAAGAAGCACGTGCAATCAGGTGAGCTCTGGATCGAAAGCTGCTTAACAGTGTCCGTGTGTTGGCGGCAGAGTTGGGGTGTAAGAACTTCCAGGTCTCAACAGGCTGGACATACTGTACTCGTAGTTCCTGTACATCCACATGAAAACCCAGGAAAAGGTCTCCATCCTCATACTCAAGTACGATGGGCGGTATGTATACATCCTGGTGCAGAAAAGCTTGCACAGCAGCATAGTTGGCATGGCGATCAAGAATCAAACTCATCCGGTTGTCAACATATCTAACCACAAGGCCGAAGGTTGGCAAGCGAGAAGACTCTAACAGACATTTTCCAAAGTACATGTGCTCGTATAGGCTTACCACAGCATGGCAGGCTGCCGGGGAAAAGTGGCTTCCCATCGGTGCGCCTCGGATTTGTTGAATGGCCTGCTGACCCACCATGAATAGATTGAACTTGAAGGACACCTGTACGGCCTCCAGAAATAGGTCCATTGGGACGGCAACTCGTTTGTCATTCAACAGGCAATGCCGACCACGGATAGTTTTCATAACTGACATGTTGTTTTCCAAGTCCACAGTCACCACAACGCCTTTTAAGGCATGATCAAGATCCGCATCCGAGACGTCGTAAAAACGACAAAGCAATATGCGAAAGGTAATCATGAACCGCTCCCGTGGAAAGCTCACGAAAAAACCTGACAAGTCCTGATTATGCATGGCAAGCTTTTGTCTGTCTTGATCCGAGCTGTGACATCGCTTCTCAAAGAAAGCGTGTATGTTCTGCCAAAGCAAGATTGCATCGTTGTAAGATCGAGTGTGAGGACACACCTCAGCGACAAGCATCTCTGTGACTCGCGCCATCACAACCAAGAACTGGCGAGCCGGGTGAGAGGCAAAACTAACGATTGGCCTGCCTCCTTTCCATTCTTTCTTGAACTTGGGGAGAAGGTAAGCCCATGACACACGGGCAGCACGAGATCCAAAACGGAAGGGAAAGGATTCAAGAATGCGAGGTGGCACTGCATGTTCCATCTGGACCATAATTGTCGAGGGATTTAACGACAATGGCTTGAAGACCGATTCAGCAGTAAAAGTGTTCTGGAGCATCATCCAATACTTCACAGGGCAGAAAACATGCGCATGCGAGCCTTCATGATCACGGACATGCCACACCAAGCCGTTGGTCCTTTTTCGCAACTCACGAACCTGATCCACTGACCAATGTGTTCCAACGTGTTGTGAGTGCATCTTCCAAGCCTCCTGCCACACACTTCGAATATCAACAGTCGGATAATGCATCAAGCCATGGTGATCAATCCAATGCCTCACGTCTTCAAGAAACATCGTCCAATGATCCGTGGCGTTCATGAATACCGGATTGGAGCAACTGGACTGGGCCAACTGAGTCAAATCAGGTGGCAGGGTCAACAACGTGGCAGAAGAAGCAATGTGACCCTGGACAACAGTCAGGTGTGGATGACGTCGAAGAAGTTCATGGCAGCAACATGTGACACCAGCCTGTTGCGGCTCCTCGTGCGGGTCCCACGACTGCAGGATGGGTTTATGCGAAAACAACACATCCTTGATTTTAGGGTGACTTTTGGCAACGAGCGATGTCGCTGGAATGTGGTACGGCAGCAGTCGATCCGTCGATACATCCAAAATATCTCTCAACATGCCGCGAACCAAGCGTTTGAAGCCTACTTCAGGCAGCAAGAACGGAGTGGAAAGGGGGCGGCATGTAGTCGGGCACCTCAACTGTCGAAATTGCAGTACAGTGTTCAATCTGGACCTGCAGATCGTCTCATAGAACGGGTCACCCAGATGAGTGGCCATCCTGAATAATCTATAGAGAAAATCCGAGTCAACTCGGTTGCTGCGCAGATATTTTTGGGCAAGAAAGGACTTCAACCCGTCAGAAGCTAAGTCAAACAGAATCTGATAACTGTATACAATGTTCTGAACAATGTGTGTCGACCGGAAGACCGAAGGAGTCAATCCAGTGAGCTGGAAATTCCGACGTCGGAAGCGTCGAAAGGTTCTCCACGAGGTCACAAATCTCCGAACACATCTGACTGGATCCGAGTTGGCAATCTGTGCATGTTTTGCTCTGACAAGAGAGCGAACCCAAGGAGCATTTAGGTGAGGCTGTAGCAAGTTGATAAATGTCTGCTCAATCGTGTGCAAACAATCGACCTGTGGGACATGCATGATCAACAGAGGAATGGCCATGTGATAATTCTGTCGTCGATAATGCCAAAACAACGAAAGTTCACCGCACACTGACTTGCCAGCCCTGATCTGTTGGAATTTCCCCCATCTTGTACGCTCACGGTCGCCCAGTGTTTGGGATGATGATCCGACATACATGAATTTCTGTAACTCAGGCTGGAGAAAGATGCGACAATAAATCACCGACTGCGTCTGAAAGAATTTCCAGGTGTAGCTGGAGCATTTTAAACGTAGCTGAGAGGTCAATGGCGACTGTACAAGCCCGAACTCACAAGCAAGCAAAAGGAGTTTTCCACGGATCCAAATAACAATGTCCATGCATTGTCGTCCGAACATGGTAGGGGTCTCGTAGAGACCTTGGAAAAATAGATGAGCATTCCGAAGCAAATCCACTTCACTTCGGTGCCGTTTCCACCAACCTTGTGGCGGATGGTCAATGCGATACACGTCCCTGGCATCCAATATGGCCTGTAGTCAAGCCACAAGAATTGTTCCGGCAGCAAGAATACGGAGCAGAGAATTCGCCTTAAGCTTGGGAATATCACGGATGGGTACGCCCCAATTGGCAACAACCTGATCCAATTCGGCCTGCTCATTGGAAGGAAGGTCCGCATGCCATCGTTGGACATGAGCTGTCCATGTCTGGAGCTTCTGTCGATTGTTCTTGCTCAAGTTCAATCCTTCAATCCACGTCGATACTTCTTTGTCCGACTTGCAAGCCTTCCAACTGCGACTCAAGAAGTGACGTTTGCTGGGATCCGTGAGAACAATCTTCACAACCTGTCCAACATGCGAGGATGTTCCATACTCAGGCTGAGGAGCAGAACTCGAATTGCCTGGGTTGCGACCCTGGGTCTCAGCTTCATCGGGCTCGACACTCAAAGGTTCAGCGTGATTCCCGGATGGTTTGCCTTTCTGGAATGCCTGCATGAGACTGGTTTTAGGCTCAGCCGTCTGACCACGAAGAAGGCGAGTGGCACCATCCGGAACTTTCTGAGCTGAGGGCGCAGACTCCGGCACACGTCCTTGGGGGCTTTCTTCAATCGGCAACGTTTTCGGACCTGCAACCTCTTGATTAGAAGATCGGGAGGGGGAAGCATTCTCGAAATTCGCAAGTTGTTGTTGAAGAATCTGAATCTGATTGGCCATAGCTGCCTTCTCTGTGTCAACAGAGGCCTGAGGATACAGACCTAGCATGTAGTCAACAACCTTCTGTGCCAACAAGTGTGTGGCCTGCGACTTTGAGTCCGAACCGCTGCTCTTGGAAGCGGGGTCACTGATACCAAGCACAATAGAAGCAAGCTCATCCAAGTCGACGTCTTCATCTCGCAACTTTCCAAACAAGGCATGGCAAAATACAACTTCACCGATCGATTTGAAGCCTGCAAAGAAAGTCGGCTTTCCTTCGGCAATATGGCGCACCCAATACGAATTCCAACCTTGATAGAGCAACGAGTGAAGCGGTATCATATGGGTCGGACATCCATCAATCTGCTTTCGAACTGTCCAGTCAGTCTTCTTTACCCAACGGGCCAAGTTCAGGCCTGCAATACAACGGGAATCCAAATAGTTTGGGTTCTGGCAAAACTCAGCGGGCATCATCGGGCCGAAGACTCTCGGGGAGTTTGCAGCAGGAGGGGAAGGGAGGCCTGGAATGCGGGGGGTTGGCGAAATGTTCATAATCTGAGCAATGCGTGGATTGGGTTGCCACGTAAGATTCTGTGGCCGAAGCACTGCCGGTCTGTTCACTGGTGGGGCAGGTCGGGGAGCAGGGTGCTGCCAACTCTCAGGGGTAGGTGGGACCGAAGCCGGCAAGGAGGAGCTCCAGAAAGGGTTGCGGCGGGGGGAACGTTCACGATCCATGGCAGAAAATGAGAACAACAACTGACTGCAAAGCTCAAGCCGGAATGATCTCAAGAAGCGACTCCAGAATGCAACTCCGATCTGATTTCCAGAGATGTGATTTCCACTCAGTGATCTCCACTTGAACATGTTGTGAAACGGAATTGATTTCCGGAGCTGCTAACACAAGAACCCCGGTGGGCCGGCAACTTCGCCGAATAGCGACAAGGCCCTCGTGAGGGAGCTCTTGCCGAACACAACTGGAAAGGCTCCTACTGACCCGGCCTTCTGGATGTTCTGATCGTCCAATGCAGATACTTTCATGGACATGTTCAAACAAATTGCAGCAACCGTACAAAGCTTCAAAGCAAATAAAGGCATGGTCAAGTTTTCAGCGAGAGTCAAACTGCATGAAAACAACATGTTTTGAAAACACATGTTGTGGCCACCAGCTGGAGTACTTCTCCCCAAGTGCGCCACTGCAGGTACGTTTTCACTGCATTCACAGAAGCGTCTTCGTTGGCTGGAGACTTCTGTGATGCACTCCAGCCCCCTGCAAACTTAAAAGCGAAAAGAGCGTGAAAACAAGAAAATTCATGGGTCAAAGCAAGTACCTACAAAGAATTTCAACCAGAAACGCCGAGGAAAAATGGACAGGTGAATGCAGGTTTTTCGCATGTACAGCAGAATAACACAAACACGCGGTGAGCGAGGTGGTGACGGCGTCCATGGGCCTTTGGACCGACGATGCCTCGGCTTTCCAAGGTGGCTCCTGCGAATACGCCAGCGCATCGCAAGGTGGTCTTGAGTCGCCGTCGGCCACAAGCAAATACCTGGAATCCCGGGCTGTTTGCCTGGCCAACCCTGCGATCTACGGCGGCGGAGTCGCCTGTGGCTCCTGCTGGAAGGCTGAGCGAGAGGGTCAGGGCAGCGTGGTGGTGCAGATCATCGGGTCTCATGGAGGCTCCAACAACTTGGACTGCTTCTCCGACGCCTTCCGCACCATCGCCGGTGCGGACGGCGGCACTTTCGACGAGGTCCGCCTTGAGCCCGTCGAGTGTGAGGTGAATGGCGCAGGGCCAGTGGCGACCATCGTGGATGGGGACAACGCCTGGTACACACGAGCCATCTTCTCCAACTTGCCTCATGCCGTCCTGGCTGCCTGGATATCCGTGGATGGGAAAGCGACGGAGATGCGTCGTGTATCGGGAGCGACTTGGGAGGCCAACCTCGGAGGTGGTGGCTCTGTTGTTGGTTTCAAGGTGAGCCTGGAGGGCGGAACGGAAATGGCCTTCCGCGACTGCTTCAGCTCGTGGCCTGTGGCGAAAGGAAGTTCCTGCAGCACCTCCGGCTCCGGGCCCTCGCCGGGCCCTTCTCCTTCTCCGACTCCGACTACTCCAACTCCGGCACCTTCTCCGACGACGACAAAGCTGACCACGACCACCGCGATGGCCACCACCGCGGCTCCAACTCCAACTCCGTCACCTGCGGAGTGTGCCGCTCCAGGGGACGACTGCCGCGATGCCGGCTGCTGTCAGCAAGCCGGGCAGACCTGCTATGAGAGTGGCTACGAGAGCACCTCCAGCACTTCTACGTGCACGGTGGCCACGGGGTCCGTTGTGCTGGATACCGGCCAACGGGCAGCGAAGCATCTCCGCTGTGATCCCGAGAGGATAGATGAGTTCTACATTGCGGACGGTGAGAATGGCAGCGATGCGAGGCAGGACCGGGTGAGGCGACATGTGGGTTTCTCGTCGCTGCACCACTTTGCTTCGCTAGCTGCGGTAGTTCCTAGCATGCAGGGTCACTTTGACTGGAAGCATGCCACCAGAATTGGAGAAGCGAGTCATCCTGGACCCTCTGGTGGAGGGTCGCGAGCGACAGCCCGCCGTAGGGCTGAGATGGATGTAGATGCTGAGGAGACTGGCGGCTTCGGCGGCCTTGCTGGCCTGCTTAGGCCCATGCTGGAGACCTTGATTCGTGAACTGCTTCAGGAGCTCCTTACTGAGGGGGGGCTCAAGGGCATGATTGCTGAGATGTTGGGTGGCCGGGTTCCAGCCACTTCATCGCGGGCTCCTTCGGCGGCACACTCTGCGGGTGAGGTCGTGCCGGACGAGGGGGCTAACAAGAAGGGGCGCTGGGACAAACGTCGCGGCGATGATGATGACGCGCAGCCCAAGGGCAAGGGCAAAGGCAAGAACAACAGCGGCGAGCAGGCCAAGGGCAAGGGCAAGAACGACCTGTCCAAGGGCAATGGCAAGGACCATGGCGGCGATCAGGCCGGCAAGGGTAAGAGCAACAATGGCGACCTGTCTAAGGGCAAGGGCAAGAACAATGGTGGCGAGCAGGCGGGCAAGGGCCTTGGTTCCAGACCGGATGCTGCCGATGGTGCTGAGTGGACGGTGGTCGGGCCTGCCAAGAAGCAGGCCGAGTGGCAGCTTCGTGGTTCTGATTGGACTGAGGCTGTCATGACTTATGATGCGCTTGTGGCTGCCTTTGGCAGCGATAGCAATGATGCTGTGAAGGGCGTGGTGCTCGCATCGGACGAGGAGTTCGACACCCTCAAGACTTTGCTGCGCGGATCCTCTAAGGCACATGGCGTGCTGCTGGTGCATCAGAATAAGGATGCCTCCCAACGGTGTCCCGGCGTGATTGGCAGCAAGCTGGTCATCAGGACGGTGGACTTCCACAGGTCCTACACTCCTGGCTTGGTCGCTCCCCAACCTAGGGCTGCGGCGGCGGCACGGAAGTTGGAACCGAAGCAAAGCTCGGTGGTCTATGCCAGGAAGGAGATTGTGAAGCAGCCGCAGCGGGCCTTTCATGGGTTCCTGGCTCAGCATCGTCTTCGTGCTTTGGACAGCTGGGGCTGGCAGATTGAGCAGGTGCAGGCCACTCCTTACCAAAAGGTCTTTGGCTGCGGGCGGCTGCTCAACACTGACGTGGAGACCCTCTTGAGCCTGAGTGGGAAAAATGGCCTCTTCTTTGACGTGGCCCGTGGGTTTCCCTTGGGTCCGGTGCAAACGGAGTGGCATAGCCAACAGGAGAGCGAAAATGCCACCGAGTTCCTCAACCGGCTCCTCACGATCCCTGCCGACTTCGGGCTCATCGCGGGTGCTAAGCAGATTGGCAAGCGGCTCCGGCGGGACCCCAACCAGCCGGTCCAGAGGCACTGGGTCATCGATGGTGTTCCTCGGGATGTTAGTCCAGATGATCTTCGCACGGTGCTTCAGGCAGGTCACTTTGAGGATGTGGAGATGACGTTGCAGCGCAGGCACGGCAACTTGATGGCATATCATTTTCGTGCTAAAACTTTGCTGACGGCGGACAGTCTTGCTGTGCCGCTTCTCCTTGGGGATGTGGAACTGGACCTGTGGGCTCGCATTGCCCCCCCGAAAAGGGGCCGGGGCACTACGCAGACCATTGCGACTTCTGGTGCTTGGCGACTGGAGGCTCCGCGCTCAAAATGGTCTACCGAGCGGGTGGCTGTGGAGCTGGATGATGAGGTCGAGGAGGCGTCTGCGGGTACCCTTGTCATCAACCAGGGTGCGGATACCAGCGATGATGCCACCATGAAGGCGGGCGCTGGGACTACTGAGGAGTCTGCTCCCAAGGAGGCTGAGGCGAAGGCGGCTGGGACTGAGAAGGTGGAGAAGAAGGATGCCGGGAAGCGGGGCGGCGCGGCGACCGGGTCGGCTGCGAAGCGAGCTGCTGGGGTGCAGCGTGCTCTCCCTGAGGGGGCCAAGGTCACCAAGATCGAGAAGGACGGTAACTGCCTTTTCAGTGGCCTTGCAAAGGGCATCAACAACTTGAAGCCTTCCGGGCACCAGCTCACTGGAGCAGAAGTCCGGGCGAAGATTGCGGTGCATCTTCGCCGCAACGAAGATAAGTACGCTCAGGAGTGGGACAAAGAAATGCCCAATAGGTCCAAGGCCGAGAATTGGGAAGCCTACGTGAGTGCGATTGAGGTTGATCAAACTTGGGGAGGACTCCCAGAGATCCGTGCAGCGAGTCGCATATGGGACGTGAGATGTATCATTTTCCCCACGTCCCAACACATTGAGCCCTTCCATGTCCACGGGCAGGCTCGCAAGCGGGTGCTGGCGCTGCTTTTTACAGGCAGCCACTTTGACCTCATCGAGGGTGACAATGGATCTCTCCCGAAGGCCCTTCTGAGCATCAAGGCCCCACCGACTGCTGTCCCGATGCGGGGCGGCGGTCGTGATGATGATGCTGCCTCTGTGTGGACGCGATCCTCTGCTTGCTCTTCTGCTGTCGCTGCCTCGGTCTGGTCCAAGGGCTCCGCGGGGACTTTGGCATCGGCTCAGGCGCGTTCTTTTTCCGGAGAATTTTCAGAAAAAAGAACGGCCCCAGGAACGCGCGACTTCGGTGACTTCCCGCCTTCTGCGACTTCCAGGCGGGCGGCCTCTGTGACTTCTAAGCGGGCGTCTACGGTGGCTTCTGGGCCAGCACCTCCGGTGACTTCCTTGCGGGGTGCTTCGGTGACCTCCAAGCGGGCTTCTTCGGTGTCTTCCAGGCGGGCCGCTTCAGCTGCTTCGGTGTGGACCCGGGAGCCTGCAACTGAGGATCCTGACAACACTTCGAAGCCGCCTAGGTCGGTGGGACGCTGTGGGATGCGTACCTCTTCCCTTGCCTCAGCCGGCGAGTGCCTGGATGTTGTTGAGGATGCGACTGCCGGCGAGCCGTCGGCGAAGCGACGGGCCTACTTGGCGCGGGGAGCCACCTTCAACCCGGCCCTCCAAAAGGATGGGTCCTTCCGCGAGCCCTGCAGCTACTGTGCCCATGTGCATGTGGGCCGCACCAGTGTTGAGCTTGCCACCAAGCGCTACCGGCATCACAAGCGGTGGCACAGCGATCTCCCCAGGACACATGGACGTGCTCCCCCTAAAGTCCTGGAGTTGTGTGAAATTCGACCAGAGGAGCCGGCTGATTGGCGATGCCCCATCTGCTTGATGGGCTTGCCTGTGGGTGCCAAGGCCAAGGTTTCGGCAAAGGCGTTCATCGCTGCCAAGGAAGAGCACCGTCGCCGTGCGCATCGGCACTTGTCTTGGGCCGCCTTCAACTCCAGGTGCTTGGGCAGCAACAATCAGCAGCATGGCGCCCGTATGAGGTGCCGAGTTCGGGCGCTTAATGTGAATCGGGCCAAGCGAGCTGTTAAGAGTGCCAGCTCCCCGTCGATTGAGCGTTTTGTTCCGTTCACTTGGCCTATTGTGCTCAACAAGAGTAAGAAAGAGCGGAGGGAACGCCGTGGCATCAAGCGCTTGATCTTTGCCACGGCCTGGCGGTGCCGTACCTGCATGGGATGCTGGCAGAAGCCTGCTCAGGCTATCCGGCACAAGTGCTCAACTGTGACCGACTGTAGCAAGGTGCGGGCTGCTAGGCTGACTAAGGCTCGGAGACTTTCGGCATCCATTGAGCACGGCATTGATGGTGTCACCTTGGCCAGGACTTTCGATGCTGCCTTGCAGTGTTTGACGCGACCCACTTTGGACCCATGATCAAGATCGCCACTTTCAATATCCAACGATCTGGGGCCGCCAAAGTTCATTGGCTTGCTGACATGGTTTGGGACAAGGAGATGGAGATCGACGTCCTGGCCATTCAGGAATTGGACCTTCACGAGAACTCGGTGCCCAACTTCATCGAACTTCTTCGTGTCCGGCGTGTGCATGTTTTTCTCGGAGGATGTGTGGATGGCCTGTACAGGTGTGCTGTCCTCTCCAAGCTCCCTGGCGTTCGCCTTGATCTTTGCAGTGATCGCCTTGCGGGGGTTGTTTTTGAGCTCCTCGAAGAGGGGCGACTTTGTCGACTGGCTGTTGCTTCATTTTATGGGTGTGCTCATGACTCTTCGCTTGCCATGAGCGGTGTTGAGCATGCGATTCAGGAGCTCAAGAAGTGCCAGCACGCCTGGTGTTTGGTTGGTGACTTCAACCTGGAGGCGGCTGAGGAGCCCCTTTGTTCCGCCTTGGCCGGCGGCCTTGCCTGCTCATGGGACCTCCCGTTCGAGAGTGAGGATTTGCTGCCGGGCACTAGAGTTTCTGGGCGGAGGATTGATTTTGGCCTGGGCTGCGGACAGCATTTTCCGGTGTCCACGTCGCAGCGCTGGTCCTTTTCGGATCATGCTCAAGTGGTCTATGAGTTGAGCCGGTTGGCCATCGGGCTCCCTCTTTTCTGCCCTTGGACACCGCGCCGGTCACTGACCAGTGCTGGGCTGCTGCATGGGATGAGTCGGCCTTTACGGGCCACTTGGAGGCGCTCGATTTGGATGCGGCCTGGACCCTCCTTTCGGACACCGCTGAGCGCTGCCTGGCCAAAAGTGGTGCCCATGGACATCGGCGTTCCCAGCCGTGGCGTCCTCGTCTTCAAGTTCATGCGCGAAGCAAGGCCGCTTGCTCCTTGGAGTCCCTCTTGGTGGTTCAGTTGCGACGGCTTTCGCGGCGGCTTTGGCAACTTCGTCACCAGCCTCAGGACGGTCGCTTGCGGGACAAGATTGGCAAGCAGATGTGTGCGCTCCATGCCAAAGCTCCTTGGGTGGCCGAGGTCCCATTTTTTGAGGCTGAAAACTGGTGTGAGTGGCTCGATGAGAAAATCGGGTCATTGGAGGCTGATGCCAAGCACAAGGCCATCCACATGTGGCGGGACCGGCTGGATGCTTCGGAGCCTCGGCTGTCTTCGTGGATCCAGCGTCGGGAGAAAGTTTGGGGTGATCTCAACAGGCCGGTGCTGAAGCCTGAGGCGGTCAGTAGGCGCGCGGCGGTCCATCCTGTGCGTCAGGTTGCCCAGGCTAGTGCTGAGTGGATGCAGCGTTGGGGCACATGCTCTACCTCGGGTGACCTTGGCCCGGTTCTGGCTACGCATCCACGCCTTGAGGAGGTCGACTTTTCCTTTGAGTTCACTGGCGAGGCCCTGCTGCGGAGCGCCAGAAGCATGCTGCACAAGGCGGCAGGACCTGACAACTGGTCTTGCTCGGATTGGGTGCTCCTGCCGGGAGCCTTCTGGAGTTCTTTCGCGAGGATCTGGCAGTGCGTCCTGGGCTCAGGCGTTGTCCCGCAGCGCTGGCGAGAGGGCAGGGTCGTCCTTATCGAGAAGGCCACCCAGGGCCATAGGCCTCTGACCATCCTTTCTTGCGCGTGGAGAGTCGGAGCACGCCTCTTGGTGCGACAAATGTCCGATTGGGTTGAACGATGGGCCTCGATGCGAGTGCTTGGGGGAGTGGCTGGCAGGGGCCTTAAGGACTCCTACCTGAGGCTGATCGATTCTTTGAGCAGCTCTTGTTTCTACTTGCAAGAGGATGTCACAAAATGCTTCGATTCGCTGCGGCTCCAGGACTTGCTGGCTACCCTTCAGCATCTCGGCTGTCCACGGCAAATCCAGCATCTGGTGCAGAGCTACTACTTGCAGCATCGTCGTGTTTTCGTCAAGGACGGTATGCTGGGTGATCGGTGGCATGACATCCACAGAGGACTTCCTCAGGGGTGTCCGTTCAGCCCCATTTTGACGGCGGCTGCGATGGCGATCTGGTCTTCGACGGTCGAGTCTGGATCCTCCCCTGGGGTCTCCTCTATGTCCTTTGTGGATGACAGACTCCTGTGGTGTCCCAACCTGGTTGAGCTCCGAAGGGCCAAGGAACTCAGCAACCAGTTTGACTTGGCCTTTGACCTGCGCTGTGACACGACGAAGAGCCGCTTTGTTCATTGTCATCCGTCTCAGGCTGCTGCTGACTTTGCGGTGGAGCTCGGCTACGAGGTCAGTGACACTTTGTCGTTGCTTGGGCTGCTGGTTCCTGTGGATGGTCATGCTGGCCCGTCACTTAAGGACTTCAGCCTTCAGCGTGTGAAGCGCCGCATTCGCCTCATCGGCGTTGCCGTGAGGGGTCTGGACAAGAAAGCTCGCATGCTTCGCATGCTGGTGCTCCCCGCTCTCACGTGGGCCGGTGGCTTTGCGACGGTGAACTCACAGGAGATGGATGAGATCCTGGCGGCCTTTCGGTATCTTCTCCACAAGGACCTTGCCCACGACACCCCGCCGCTCCTTTGCTATGAGGTGGCTGGCTGGCAGCTGCATCCTCGCTTCGCTTGTGAGCTTGCTGCTTTGAGGGAGGCGGTTCGGCATCAGAGCCGCACCCCGTCCTGGCTTGAGGATGCTCCTTTGCGGCTGGCGACAAAGCGGTGGCCGCAGCTTTTGCCGAACACGGTGGCTGTGCTCACGAGCCTGGGCTGGACTTGGGACCCTCGTGGTCGTTACATCCTCCGCCGGGACTCCTATGGCCAGGAGCGCCGCTTTGAGTTGGGTGTTGACTCTTTCGACGTCCTGGTTGAGTGGTTGGAGGACGCTTATCGGCGGTGGCACTTGGCCCGATGTGGACGTGTCGTCGAGCGGCTTCACCGTGCTGGTGCTGAGGATGACGTTGCTTGTGGGCTCGACCTACCAGGACCTCCGGCTGGCACCCTGGCGGTCTTCGAGGGTCATAAGCGGACGTGGCTCAAGGCGAAGGACACGGTGGACAAGCACACTGCTCTGGTCGCGGGCTGCTCCTTTTGGCACAAGCGCAAGAAGCTCCCTCGGGCTGATTGGCCGGGTCTTCGTTGCCTTTGCGGTAAGAACACCCCGTCTCGGCCGCATTTGCTGTGGACGTGCTCTCGCACAGCTGACTTGAGGACTTCGGTCGCTGCACCTACGACTCGTCTGGAGGAGAGGTTGATCGCGCGGGCTGTGCCTGAGGTGCCTTCGGCTCCGATCGTCCTTGCTCGAGGCGACTACATCGAGGAGATGGCCGAGCAGCTGGAGGCCAAGCTTGCCGCGAACCCGGTAGTCTTCGTGGCTACGGACGGTAGCTCGATTGCTACGGTGTCTGCGTGGGCGGTCGTCCTGGCTGGTGATGGCGCGGCCGACTTTGCCTTGGGTGTTCCAGGGGAGGATCAATCGCCCCATCGTTCTGAGATTGAGGGGCTCTTGGCGCTGCTGGAGGCCCTTTCGATGACGAGCTCCTGTGGCACGGTCCACGTGCTGGCGGACTGTCAGTCGGCCCTGACGGTGATCCATGGCGGTGGCGCGGTGCGCCTCCTGGCGCAGAGAGCGGTTGAGCTGCAGGCCCTGTTGTGCGGCCGGATCCAGCTTTGCTTCTGGTGGGTCCCTTCACATGGTAAGGTGGCGCCGCCTCGGTGGCGCACTCCACCCTGCGGTGAGGCGATGGCGCGAGCGCTGAACGCGCGTGCTGACCGTGCGGCCAAGGCCTGTGCCTCGCGACGTGCAGCTGGATCTGCAAGACAGATGTGTGCCGACCAACGTGCTCGAGCTTTGGAGTGGGAGTTGCAGGCGCTGCAGGCCCTCTCCGCTGTTGCTCATCGTTGGGACCTGGCCTAGTTCCTCGGCGTCTGGTCGGCTACGACTTTGACATCGTGCCGTCCTCAACACTACTTCAAGACCTGCTATGAGAAGGATGCCTTCTTTGCGGCCTGCCGCAGCAGTTGCGTGCCCGGCAGCGTGAACCCCAGGGACCCGGAAGAGTTCCGAACGCCCTGGACATGCGAGATTGTCGGCAACACCAACCCAAGCCCAACTCCAGCTCCAACTCCGTCGCCATCCCCGGTGCGGCCCGTGCCTTCGCCCGGTCCAGGACCCTCGGGTGCCTTCCGCACTTCAGAAGTCGGCTCCAGCAAGGACCGCCTCTTCGAGTTTGTTCGGGTGCTGACCAATCAGCCCGTTTCAGGCTCCAAGGCTCGCGCAGTGCAATCTTCTGGCGGAGCAGCTGGGGGCATCGTGTCCGAGAGTCAGGGCTATGGCCTCCTCCTTGCAGGGACGCTGCTGGCTGCCATGGACTCTGATTCGGATTTTGGCCGCGTCTCCGAGCTTACCTACGAGCTTTTCCTCGGATGGCGCCGCATATGCGAGCTGAGCGCAGCGGGCGGCAGCTGTCAGGACGATGAGGGTTTCCAGTGTGGCGGTGGCCAATACCCGTGCGTCCCACATTGGAAGTTCGGCGAGGATTTGACCCAGGTCGTCGGAAAGGGAGCTGCGCCAGATGGGGACGTCGACGCCTTGTTGGGCATGTTGTTGGCTGTGTTGGCTCTGGAAGGCACAAGCCGCGAGCCGGCCTGGCTCGGCGAGGTGGGCCAGTGGGCCTACGACACCTGCAAGCAGTTTTATCTCAGCTCCGCCGTGGCCTCCCCAAGTGGCCAGCACCAGATCGTGAAGTTGGGCTCCTGCTGGGGCGGCTGGGGAACGCAAGGGCAGAACCCCAGCTACCACGCGCCCGGTGTCTACCGGCTCTGCCGGGACTACATGGCCTCTCACGATGAGAAATACGGCGGGTCCTCCACGGAGGGCGATGGCTTTGCAAGAGATTGGGAGACGCTCATCGCCACGAGCTACAAGATGCTTGCGGCCACGCAGTGCCCTTCGACGGGATTGGTCCCGAACTGGGCTCAGATCTTCGAAGATGGACGCCGACTCCGGGCTCAGACGGGCTTCAGCGGCAGCGGCACGCCGGGTGCGGAGTTCGGCGCCGAGGCGTCGCGGACCATCTGGCGAGTGGTGGTGGACTTCCTGCTGTATCCTTCCGAGGCGCGCCCAGCCGCAGACTTCCTGAGTCCGGTTGCGAAGCACTTGGGGAAGAAGGAGAACTCTGGGCGATGGGCGTCTTCCCTGGATGTGGATGGCGCTTGCCTGGTGGAGACCATCCACCCAGGATGGCAGGTTAACATGTTCATGGCGGCGCCCACCTTCGCCAGCCTCGTCTGCCCAGCGGAGCTCGAGGGCGGCAGACAGCAGGAGCTTCTGGACTCGGCCGGCAGGCTCTTGGCCAGCAAGCGCATCCGGGACTACTACTCCGGCAGCTGGGTGGCCATCAGCACCATGACTCTCAACGGCGACCTGGCCAAAGCAGCCGCCAATGCTAAGATCGGGTCGGCAGCACGCTCCGCCTCGGCGCCCGTGAAGCTGATCTCTTGATTGCATGAGCATGACCTCTTCGTAGAGAGTCTCAAGAATGCATGGAGTATACAGTATATAGACTTGCAGAGAGACTTGTGCATCACATGAAGCAGCTGTCCCTACGGCAGCAGCCAAAGTGAAATTCGTCTGATGCTTGAGTGGCGGGCAGGAAGATGCGAAGACGCGAAGGCTGCAAGCCTGCCGAGATGTTGGAGTGCATCTGGGATGATGTTGCTTTCTTCCCTTCCTGCCTTGTGCCGTCAGTTTTGTTCACCCTGGAGCACAGACCTCCGCGGTGAAGGCAAAGAGCCCCGCTCACCGAGATCACCGGACCTTTCTGCCCGACCGAAGTTTTTACGAAAGACGAAAGCGAAAGGCCTTCGGATTTCGGGGTCAGCGGGGCCAGGCCTTACAGAAGCCCGCCGGCACTGGACCTGGCAATTGCCATCCAGGTGCCGCAGCGCGTGCGTGCGCCTTTTGCGGCCGGAACGGTCGAACCTTCGGGCAACGTGCATGGAAAATCTTGGTCTCTGCGGATTCTGGATACTATCTTCAGTGCAGGCAGCTCATAGAGAACAGAACCAGCTGGGCTCTCTGAGGTTGCAGTGCAGCCAGTGGTTGCATGCAGATGCTGCCACTGCTTGGCCCGATGAGGCTGGTCGCCGAAGGAGTGCAGCGTACCACGGACTTGTAACAAGAACAGAAACCCGTGCATCCAATTGTCACGGTCTTCATGCAACCTAAAGCCTGAGTCTAAAGCGTAGATGCTTGTTCCGTCCGTCACCAGCCGAGCCTGTCGTTGTAGACATCGCCACAGTGCAACCGCGAGTCATCCCAGGTGTGCGGTGACAGGTGCTGCCAACATGCATACACACACAGCTTAGCTGAAGCCGCCGCCACGGACTCTGACTGCAATTTCGTGGGTCGTTCGAGATACTACGTAGAGCATGGGCTCCTCATGGAGATGTGTTCATGACAAGCTTTGCTTGCACTTGCGGATGCTGGGTGCAGGATCTTTGCATGCTGGGGAAATGTCTGAGGCCGACCGCATCATCACCGCGACCAAGGAGCAGTTGCCATCTCAGCTGTTCACCTTGTGCGCCGTGCCCGTGCGGGCACAGTTGCCGATGGACATGGCTTAATGGCTTAGTGGGAGGCGCGCAACTCAGCGACGCGGCGACGGCTCGAGCAATTGGTCGAAATTCCTAGCTGCAGCTTCAATCGCACAACATCTCTTGCCATGGCGTCCTGCCTCATGATTGGGTTGACCCTGGCACTCCTGGGCCCGGGCTTGGCTTCTGGCGCCGAGAGCTGCAGCTCCACAGCGGGGTCGCTGATGCTGCAAGCCAGGCGAGGTCTCCACAAACACGCGGTGAGCGAGGTGGTGACGGCGTCCATGGGCCTTTGGACCGACGATGCCTCGGCTTTCCAAGGTGGCTCCTGCGAATACGCCAGCGCATCGCAAGGTGGTCTTGAGTCGCCGTCGGCCACAAGCAAATACCTGGAATCCCGGGCTGTTTGCCTGGCCAACCCTGCGATCTACGGCGGCGGAGTCGCCTGTGGCTCCTGCTGGAAGGCTGAGCGAGAGGGTCAGGGCAGCATGGTGGTGCAGATCATCGGGTCTCATGGAGGCTCCAACAACTTGGACTGCTTCTCCGACGCCTTCCGCACCATCGCCGGTGCGGACGGCGGCACTTTCGAGGTCCGCCTTGAGCCCGTCGAGTGTGAGGTGAATGGCGCAGGGCCAGTGGCGACCATCGTGGATGGGGACAACGCCTGGTACACACGAGCCATCTTCTCCAACTTGCCTCATGCCGTCCTGGCTGCCTGGATATCCGTGGATGGGAAAGCGACGGAGATGCGTCGTGTATCGGGAGCGACTTGGGAGGCCAACCTCGGAGGTGGTGGCTCTGTTGTTGGTTTCAAGGTGAGCCTGGAGGGCGGAACGGAAATGGCCTTCCGCGACTGCTTCAGCTCGTGGCCTGTGGCGAAAGGAAGTTCCTGCAGCACCTCCGGCTCCGGGCCCTCGCCGGGCCCTTCTCCTTCTCCGACTCCGACTACTCCAACTCCGGCACCTTCTCCGACTACGACAAAGCTGACCACGACCACCGCGATGGCCACCACCGCGGCTCCAACTCCAACTCCGTCACCTGCGGAGTGTGCCGCTCCAGGGGACGACTGCCGCGATGCCGGCTGCTGTCAGCAAGCCGGGCAGACCTGCTATGAGAAGGATGCCTTCTTTGCGGCCTGCCGCAGCAGTTGCGTGCCCGGCAGCGTGAACCCCAGGGACCCGGAAGAGTTCCGAACGCCCTGGACATGCGAGATTGTCGGCAACACCAACCCAAGCCCAACTCCAGCTCCAACTCCGTCGCCATCCCCGGTGCGGCCCGTGCCTTCGCCCGGTCCAGGACCCTCGGGTGCCTTCCGCACTTCAGAAGTCGGCTCCAGCAAGGACCGCCTCTTCGAGTTTGTTCGGGTGCTGACCAATCAGCCCGTTTCAGGCTCCAAGGCTCGCGCAGTGCAATCTTCTGGCGGAGCAGCTGGGGGCATCGTGTCCGAGAGTCAGGGCTATGGCCTCCTCCTTGCAGGGACGCTGCTGGCTGCCATGGACTCTGATTCGGATTTTGGCCGCGTCTCCGAGCTTACCTACGAGCTTTTCCTCGGATGGCGCCGCATGTGCGAGCTGAGCGCAGCGGGCGGCAGCTGTCAGGACGATGAGGGTTTCCAGTGTGGCGGTGGCCAATACCCGTGCCTCCCACATTGGAAGTTCGGCGAGGATTTGACCCAGGTCGTCGGAAAGGGAGCTGCGCCAGATGGAGACGTCGACGCCTTGTTGGGCATGTTGTTGGCTGTGTTGGCTCTGGAAGGCACAAGCCGCGAGCCGGCCTGGCTCGGCGAGGTGGGCCAGTGGGCCTACGACACCTGCAAGCAGTTTTATCTCAGCTCCACCGTGGCCTCCCCAAGTGGCCAGCACCAGATCGTGAAGTTGGGCTCCTGCTGGGGCGGCTGGGGAACGCAAGGGCAGAACCCCAGCTACCACGCGCCCGGTGTCTACCGGCTCTGCCGGGACTACATGGCCTCTCACGATGAGAAATACGGCGGGTCCTCCACGGAGGGCGATGGCTTTGCAAGAGATTGGGAGACGCTCATCGCCACGAGCTACAAGATGCTTGCGGCCACGCAGTGCCCTTCGACGGGATTGGTCCCGAACTGGGCTCAGATCTTCGAAGATGGACGCCGACTCCGGGCTCAGACGGGCTTCAGCGGCAGCGGCACGCCGGGTGCGGAGTTCGGCGCCGAGGCGTCGCGGACCATCTGGCGAGTGGTGGTGGACTTCCTGCTGTATCCTTCCGAGGCGCGCCCAGCCGCCGACTTCCTGAGTCCGGTTGCCAAGCACTTGGGGAAGAAGGAGAACTCTGGGCGATGGGCGTCTTCCCTGGATGTGGATGGCGCTTGCCTGGTGGAGACCATCCACCCAGGATGGCAGGTTAACATGTTCATGGCGGCGCCCACCTTCGCCAGCCTTGTCTGCCCAGCGGAGCTCGAGGGCGGCAGACAGCAGGAGCTTCTGGACTCGGCCGGCAGGCTCTTGGCCAGCAAGCGCATCCGGGACTACTACTCCGGCAGCTGGGTGGCCATCAGCACCATGACTCTCAACGGCGACCTGGCCAAAGCAGCCGCCAATGCTAAGATCGGGTCGGCAGCACGCTCCGCCTCGGCGCCCGTGAAGCTGATCTCTTGATTGCATGAGCATGACCTCTTCGTAGAGAGTCTCAAGAATGCGTGGAGTATAGACAGTATATAGACTTGCAGAGAGACTTGTGCATCACATGAAGCAGCTGTCCCTACGGCAGCAGCCAAAGTGAAATTCGTCTGATGCTTGAGTGGCGGGCAGGAAGATGCGAAGACGCGAAGGCTGCAAGCCTGCCGAGATGTTGGAGTGCATCTGGGATGATGTTGCTTTCTTCCCTTCCTGCCTTGTGCCGTCAGTTTTGTTCACCCTGGAGCACAGACCTCCGCGGTGAAGGCAAAGAGCCCCGCTCACCGAGATCACCGGACCTTTCTGCCCGACCGAAGTTTTTACGAAAGACGAAAGCGAAAGGCCTTCGGATTTCGGGGTCAGCGGGGCCAGGCCTTACAGAAGCCCGCCGGCACTGGACCTGGCAATTGCCATCCAGGTGCCGCAGCGCGTGCGTGCGCCTTTTGCGGCCGGAACGGTCGAACCTTCGGGCAACGTGCATGGAAAATCTTGGTCTCTGCGGATTCTGGATACTATCTTCAGTGCAGGCAGCTCATAGAGAACAGAACCAGCTGGGCTCTCTGAGGTTGCAGTGCAGCCAGTGGTTGCATGCAGATGCTGCCACTGCTTGGCCCGATGAGGCTGGTCGCCGAAGGAGTGCAGCGTACCACGGACTTGTAACAAGAACAGAAACCCGTGCATCCAATTGTCACGGTCTTCATGCAACCTAAAGCCTGAGTCTAAAGCGTAGATGCTTGTTCCGTCCGTCACCAGCCGAGCCTGTCGTTGTAGACATCGCCACAGTGCAACCGCGAGTCATCCCAGGTGTGCGGTGACAGGTGCTGCCAACATGCATACACACACAGCTTAGCTGAAGCCGCCGCCACGGACTCTGACTGCAATTTCGTGGGTCGTTCGAGATACTACGTAGAGCATGGGCTCCTCATGGAGATGTGTTCATGACAAGCTTTGCTTGCACTTGCGGATGCTGGGTGCAGGATCTTTGCATGCTGGGGAAATGTCTGAGGCCGACCGCATCATCACCGCGACCAAGGAGCAGTTGCCATCTCAGCTGTTCACCTTGTGCGCCGTGCCCGTGCGGGCACAGTTGCCGATGGACATGGCTTAATGGCTTAGTGGGAGGCGCGCAACTCAGCGACGCGGCGACGGCTCGAGCAATTGGTCGAACTTCCTAGCTGCAGCTTCAATCGCACAACATCTCTTGCCATGGCGTCCTGCCTCATGGTTGGGTTGACCCTGGCACTCCTGGGCCCGGGCTTGGCTTCTGGCGCCGAGAGCTGCAGCTCCACAGCGGGGTCGCTGATGCTGCAAGCCAGGCGAGGTCTCCACAAACATGCGGTGAGCGAGGTGGTGACGGCGTCCATGGGCCTTTGGACCGACGATGCCTCGGCTTTCCAAGGTGGCTCCTGCGAATACGCCAGCGCATCGCAAGGTGGTCTTGAGTCGCCGTCGGCCACAAGCAAATACCTGGAATCCCGGGCTGTTTGCCTGGCCAACCCTGCGATCTACGGCGGCGGAGTCGCCTGTGGCTCCTGCTGGAAGGCTGAGCGAGAGGGTCAGGGCAGCATGGTGGTGCAGATCATCGGGTCTCATGGAGGCTCCAACAACTTGGACTGCTTCTCCGACGCCTTCCGCACCATCGCCGGTGCGGACGGCGGCACTTTCGAGGTCCGCCTTGAGCCCGTCGAGTGTGAGGTGAATGGCGCAGGGCCAGTGGCGACCATCGTGGATGGGGACAACGCCTGGTACACACGAGCCATCTTCTCCAACTTGCCTCATGCCGTCCTGGCTGCCTGGATATCCGTGGATGGGAAAGCGACGGAGATGCGTCGTGTATCGGGAGCGACTTGGGAGGCCAACCTCGGAGGTGGTGGCTCTGTTGTTGGTTTCAAGGTGAGCCTGGAGGGCGGAACGGAAATGGCCTTCCGCGACTGCTTCAGCTCGTGGCCTGTGGCGAAAGGAAGTTCCTGCAGCACCTCCGGCTCCGGGCCCTCGCCGGGCCCTTCTCCTTCTCCGACTCCGACTACTCCAACTCCGGCACCTTCTCCGACTACGACAAAGCTGACCACGACCACCGCGATGGCCACCACCACCACGGCTCCAACTCCAACTCCGTCACCTGCGGAGTGTGCCGCTCCAGGGGACGACTGCCGCGATGCCGGCTGCTGTCAGCAAGCTGGGCAGACCTGCTATGAGAAGGATGCCTTCTTTGCGGCCTGCCGCAGCAGTTGCGTGCCCGGCAGCGTGAACCCCAGGGACCCGGAAGAGTTCCGAACGCCCTGGACATGCGAGATTGTCGGCAACACCAACCCAAGCCCAACTCCAGCTCCAACTCCGTCGCCATCCCCGGTGCGGCCCGTGCCTTCGCCCGGTCCAGGACCCTCGGGTGCCTTCCGCACTTCAGAAGTCGGCTCCAGCAAGGACCGCCTCTTCGAGTTTGTTCGGGTGCTGACCAATCAGCCCGTTTCAGGCTCCAAGGCTCGCGCAGTGCAATCTTCTGGCGGAGCAGCTGGGGGCATCGTGTCCGAGAGTCAGGGCTATGGCCTCCTCCTTGCAGGGACGCTGCTGGCTGCCATGGACTCTGATTCGGATTTTGGCCGCGTCTCCGAGCTTACCTACGAGCTTTTCCTCGGATGGCGCCGCATGTGCGAGCTGAGCGCAGCGGGCGGCAGCTGTCAGGACGATGAGGGTTTCCAGTGTGGCGGTGGCCAATACCCGTGCCTCCCACATTGGAAGTTCGGCGAGGATTTGACCCAGGTCGTCGGAAAGGGAGCTGCGCCAGATGGGGACGTCGACGCCTTGTTGGGCATGTTGTTGGCTGTGTTGGCTCTGGAAGGCACAAGCCGCGAGCCGGCCTGGCTCGGCGAGGTGGGCCAGTGGGCCTACGACACCTGCAAGCAGTTTTATCTCAGCTCCACCGTGGCCTCCCCAAGTGGCCAGCACCAGATCGTGAAGTTGGGCTCCTGCTGGGGCGGCTGGGGAACGCAAGGGCAGAACCCCAGCTACCACGCGCCCGGTGTCTACCGGCTCTGCCGGGACTACATGGCCTCTCACGATGAGAAATACGGCGGGTCCTCCACGGAGGGCGATGGCTTTGCAAGAGATTGGGAGACGCTCATCGCCACGAGCTACAAGATGCTTGCGGCCACGCAGTGCCCTTCGACGGGATTGGTCCCGAACTGGGCTCAGATCTTCGAAGATGGACGCCGACTCCGGGCTCAGACGGGCTTCAGCGGCAGCGGCACGCCGGGTGCGGAGTTCGGCGCCGAGGCGTCGCGGACCATCTGGCGAGTGGTGGTGGACTTCCTGCTGTATCCTTCCGAGGCGCGCCCAGCCGCAGACTTCCTGAGTCCGGTTGCGAAGCACTTGGGGAAGAAGGAGAACTCTGGGCGATGGGCGTCTTCCCTGGATGTGGATGGCGCTTGCCTGGTGGAGACCATCCACCCAGGATGGCAGGTTAACATGTTCATGGCGGCGCCCACCTTCGCCAGCCTTGTCTGCCCAGCGGAGCTCGAGGGCGGCAGACAGCAGGAGCTTCTGGACTCGGCCGGCAGGCTCTTGGCCAGCAAGCGCATCCGGGACTACTACTCCGGCAGCTGGGTGGCCATCAGCACCATGACTCTCAACGGCGACCTGGCCAAAGCAGCCGCCAATGCTAAGATCGGGTCGGCAGCACGCTCCGCCTCGGCGCCCGTGAAGCTGATCTCTTGATTGCATGAGCATGACCTCTTCGTAGAGAGTCTCAAGAATGCGTGGAGTATAGACAGTATATAGACTTGCAGAGAGACTTGTGCATCACATGAAGCAGCTGTCCCTACGGCAGCAGCCAAAGTGAAATTCGTCTGATGCTTGAGTGGCGGGCAGGAAGATGCGAAGACGCGAAGGCTGCAAGCCTGCCGAGATGTTGGAGTGCATCTGGGATGATGTTGCTTTCTTCCCTTCCTGCCTTGTGCCGTCAGTTTTGTTCACCCTGGAGCACAGACCTCCGCGGTGAAGGCAAAGAGCCCCGCTCACCGAGATCACCGGACCTTTCTGCCCGACCGAAGTTTTTACGAAAGACGAAAGCGAAAGGCCTTCGGATTTCGGGGTCAGCGGGGCCAGGCCTTACAGAAGCCCGCCGGCACTGGACCTGGCAATTGCCATCCAGGTGCCGCAGCGCGTGCGTGCGCCTTTTGCGGCCGGAACGGTCGAACCTTCGGGCAACGTGCATGGAAAATCTTGGTCTCTGCGGATTCTGGATACTATCTTCAGTGCAGGCAGCTCATAGAGAACAGAACCAGCTGGGCTCTCTGAGGTTGCAGTGCAGCCAGTGGTTGCATGCAGATGCTGCCACTGCTTGGCCCGATGAGGCTGGTCGCCGAAGGAGTGCAGCGTACCACGGACTTGTAACAAGAACAGAAACCCGTGCATCCAATTGTCACGGTCTTCATGCAACCTAAAGCCTGAGTCTAAAGCGTAGATGCTTGTTCCGTCCGTCACCAGCCGAGCCTGTCGTTGTAGACATCGCCACAGTGCAACCGCGAGTCATCCCAGGTGTGCGGTGACAGGTGCTGCCAACATGCATACACACACAGCTTAGCTGAAGCCGCCGCCACGGACTCTGACTGCAATTTCGTGGGTCGTTCGAGATACTACGTAGAGCATGGGCTCCTCATGGAGATGTGTTCATGACAAGCTTTGCTTGCACTTGCGGATGCTGGGTGCAGGATCTTTGCATGCTGGGAAATGTCTGAGGCCGACCGCATCATCACCGCGACCAAGGAGCAGTTGCCATCTCAGCTGTTCACCTTGTGCGCCGTGCCCGTGCGGGCACAGTTGCCGATGGACATGGCTTAATGGCTTAGTGGGAGGCGCGCAACTCAGCGACGCGGCGACGGCTCGAGCAATTGGTCGAAATTCCTAGCTGCAGCTTCAATCGCACAACATCTCTTGCCATGGCGTCCTGCCTCATGGTTGGGTTGACCCTGGCACTCCTGGGCCCGGGCTTGGCTTCTGGCGCCGAGAGCTGCAGCTCCACAGCGGGGTCGCTGATGCTGCAAGCCAGGCGAGGTCTCCACAAACACGCGGTGAGCGAGGTGGTGACGGCGTCCATGGGCCTTTGGACCGACGATGCCTCGGCTTTCCAAGGTGGCTCCTGCGAATACGCCAGCGCATCGCAAGGTGGTCTTGAGTCGCCGTCGGCCACAAGCAAATACCTGGAATCCCGGGCTGTTTGCCTGGCCAACCCTGCGATCTACGGCGGCGGAGTCGCCTGTGGCTCCTGCTGGAAGGCTGAGCGAGAGGGTCAGGGCAGCATGGTGGTGCAGATCATCGGGTCTCATGGAGGCTCCAACAACTTGGACTGCTTCTCCGACGCCTTCCGCACCATCGCCGGTGCGGACGGCGGCACTTTCGAGGTCCGCCTTGAGCCCGTCGAGTGTGAGGTGAATGGCGCAGGGCCAGTGGCGACCATCGTGGATGGGGACAACGCCTGGTACACACGAGCCATCTTCTCCAACTTGCCTCATGCCGTCCTGGCTGCCTGGATATCCGTGGATGGGAAAGCGACGGAGATGCGTCGTGTATCGGGAGCGACTTGGGAGGCCAACCTCGGAGGTGGTGGCTCTGTTGTTGGTTTCAAGGTGAGCCTGGAGGGCGGAACGGAAATGGCCTTCCGCGACTGCTTCAGCTCGTGGCCTGTGGCGAAAGGAAGTTCCTGCAGCACCTCCGGCTCCGGGCCCTCGCCGGGCCCTTCTCCTTCTCCGACTCCGACTACTCCAACTCCGGCACCTTCTCCGACTACGACAAAGCTGACCACGACCACCGCGATGGCCACCACCACCACGGCTCCAACTCCAACTCCGTCACCTGCGGAGTGTGCCGCTCCAGGGGACGACTGCCGCGATGCCGGCTGCTGTCAGCAAGCTGGGCAGACCTGCTATGAGAAGGATGCCTTCTTTGCGGCCTGCCGCAGCAGTTGCGTGCCCGGCAGCGTGAACCCCAGGGACCCGGAAGAGTTCCGAACGCCCTGGACATGCGAGATTGTCGGCAACACCAACCCAAGCCCAACTCCAGCTCCAACTCCGTCGCCATCCCCGGTGCGGCCCGTGCCTTCGCCCGGTCCAGGACCCTCGGGTGCCTTCCGCACTTCAGAAGTCGGCTCCAGCAAGGACCGCCTCTTCGAGTTTGTTCGGGTGCTGACCAATCAGCCCGTTTCAGGCTCCAAGGCTCGCGCAGTGCAATCTTCTGGCGGAGCAGCTGGGGGCATCGTGTCCGAGAGTCAGGGCTATGGCCTCCTCCTTGCAGGGACGCTGCTGGCTGCCATGGACTCTGATTCGGATTTTGGCCGCGTCTCCGAGCTTACCTACGAGCTTTTCCTCGGATGGCGCCGCATGTGCGAGCTGAGCGCAGCGGGCGGCAGCTGTCAGGACGATGAGGGTTTCCAGTGTGGCGGTGGCCAATACCCGTGCCTCCCACATTGGAAGTTCGGCGAGGATTTGACCCAGGTCGTCGGAAAGGGAGCTGCGCCAGATGGAGACGTCGACGCCTTGTTGGGCATGTTGTTGGCTGTGTTGGCTCTGGAAGGCACAAGCCGCGAGCCGGCCTGGCTCGGCGAGGTGGGCCAGTGGGCCTACGACACCTGCAAGCAGTTTTATCTCAGCTCCACCGTGGCCTCCCCAAGTGGCCAGCACCAGATCGTGAAGTTGGGCTCCTGCTGGGGCGGCTGGGGAACGCAAGGGCAGAACCCCAGCTACCACGCGCCCGGTGTCTACCGGCTCTGCCGGGACTACATGGCCTCTCACGATGAGAAATACGGCGGGTCCTCCACGGAGGGCGATGGCTTTGCAAGAGATTGGGAGACGCTCATCGCCACGAGCTACAAGATGCTTGCGGCCACGCAGTGCCCTTCGACGGGATTGGTCCCGAACTGGGCTCAGATCTTCGAAGATGGACGCCGACTCCGGGCTCAGACGGGCTTCAGCGGCAGCGGCACGCCGGGTGCGGAGTTCGGCGCCGAGGCGTCGCGGACCATCTGGCGAGTGGTGGTGGACTTCCTGCTGTATCCTTCCGAGGCGCGCCCAGCCGCCGACTTCCTGAGTCCGGTTGCCAAGCACTTGGGGAAGAAGGAGAACTCTGGGCGATGGGCGTCTTCCCTGGATGTGGATGGCGCTTGCCTGGTGGAGACCATCCACCCAGGATGGCAGGTTAACATGTTCATGGCGGCGCCCACCTTCGCCAGCCTTGTCTGCCCAGCGGAGCTCGAGGGCGGCAGACAGCAGGAGCTTCTGGACTCGGCCGGCAGGCTCTTGGCCAGCAAGCGCATCCGGGACTACTACTCCGGCAGCTGGGTGGCCATCAGCACCATGACTCTCAACGGCGACCTGGCCAAAGCAGCCGCCAATGCTAAGATCGGGTCGGCAGCACGCTCCGCCTCGGCGCCCGTGAAGCTGATCTCTTGATTGCATGAGCATGACCTCTTCGTAGAGAGTCTCAAGAATGCATGGAGTATACAGTATATAGACTTGCAGAGAGACTTGTGCATCACATGAAGCAGCTGTCCCTACGGCAGCAGCCAAAGTGAAATTCGTCTGATGCTTGAGTGGCGGGCAGGAAGATGCGAAGACGCGAAGGCTGCAAGCCTGCCGAGATGTTGGAGTGCATCTGGGATGATGTTGCTTTCTTCCCTTCCTGCCTTGTGCCGTCAGTTTTGTTCACCCTGGAGCACAGACCTCCGCGGTGAAGGCAAAGAGCCCCGCTCACCGAGATCACCGGACCTTTCTGCCCGACCGAAGTTTTTACGAAAGACGAAAGCGAAAGGCCTTCGGATTTCGGGGTCAGCGGGGCCAGGCCTTACAGAAGCCCGCCGGCACTGGACCTGGCAATTGCCATCCAGGTGCCGCAGCGCGTGCGTGCGCCTTTTGCGGCCGGAACGGTCGAACCTTCGGGCAACGTGCATGGAAAATCTTGGTCTCTGCGGATTCTGGATACTATCTTCAGTGCAGGCAGCTCATAGAGAACAGAACCAGCTGGGCTCTCTGAGGTTGCAGTGCAGCCAGTGGTTGCATGCAGATGCTGCCACTGCTTGGCCCGATGAGGCTGGTCGCCGAAGGAGTGCAGCGTACCACGGACTTGTAACAAGAACAGAAACCCGTGCATCCAATTGTCACGGTCTTCATGCAACCTAAAGCCTGAGTCTAAAGCGTAGATGCTTGTTCCGTCCGTCACCAGCCGAGCCTGTCGTTGTAGACATCGCCACAGTGCAACCGCGAGTCATCCCAGGTGTGCGGTGACAGGTGCTGCCAACATGCATACACACACAGCTTAGCTGAAGCCGCCGCCACGGACTCTGACTGCAATTTCGTGGGTCGTTCGAGATACTACGTAGAGCATGGGCTCCTCATGGAGATGTGTTCATGACAAGCTTTGCTTGCACTTGCGGATGCTGGGTGCAGGATCTTTGCATGCTGGGAAATGTCTGAGGCCGACCGCATCATCACCGCGACCAAGGAGCAGTTGCCATCTCAGCTGTTCACCTTGTGCGCCGTGCCCGTGCGGGCACAGTTGCCGATGGACATGGCTTAATGGCTTAGTGGGAGGCGCGCAACTCAGCGACGCGGCGACGGCTCGAGCAATTGGTCGAAATTCCTAGCTGCAGCTTCAATCGCACAACATCTCTTGCCATGGCGTCCTGCCTCATGGTTGGGTTGACCCTGGCACTCCTGGGCCCGGGCTTGGCTTCTGGCGCCGAGAGCTGCAGCTCCACAGCGGGGTCGCTGATGCTGCAAGCCAGGCGAGGTCTCCACAAACACGCGGTGAGCGAGGTGGTGACGGCGTCCATGGGCCTTTGGACCGACGATGCCTCGGCTTTCCAAGGTGGCTCCTGCGAATACGCCAGCGCATCGCAAGGTGGTCTTGAGTCGCCGTCGGCCACAAGCAAATACCTGGAATCCCGGGCTGTTTGCCTGGCCAACCCTGCGATCTACGGCGGCGGAGTCGCCTGTGGCTCCTGCTGGAAGGCTGAGCGAGAGGGTCAGGGCAGCATGGTGGTGCAGATCATCGGGTCTCATGGAGGCTCCAACAACTTGGACTGCTTCTCCGACGCCTTCCGCACCATCGCCGGTGCGGACGGCGGCACTTTCGAGGTCCGCCTTGAGCCCGTCGAGTGTGAGGTGAATGGCGCAGGGCCAGTGGCGACCATCGTGGATGGGGACAACGCCTGGTACACACGAGCCATCTTCTCCAACTTGCCTCATTCCGTCCTGGCTGCCTGGATATCCGTGGATGGGAAAGCGACGGAGATGCGTCGTGTATCGGGAGCGACTTGGGAGGCCAACCTCGGAGGTGGTGGCTCTGTTGTTGGTTTCAAGGTGAGCCTGGAGGGCGGAACGGAAATGGCCTTCCGCGACTGCTTCAGCTCGTGGCCTGTGGCGAAAGGAAGTTCCTGCAGCACCTCCGGCTCCGGGCCCTCGCCGGGCCCTTCTCCTTCTCCGACTCCGACTACTCCAACTCCGGCACCTTCTCCGACGACGACAAAGCTGACCACGACCACCGCGATGGCCACCACCACCACGGCTCCAACTCCAACTCCGTCACCTGCGGAGTGTGCCGCTCCAGGGGACGACTGCCGCGATGCCGGCTGCTGTCAGCAAGCCGGGCAGACCTGCTATGAGAAGGATGCCTTCTTTGCGGCCTGCCGCAGCAGTTGCGTGCCCGGCAGCGTGAACCCCAGGGACCCGGAAGAGTTCCGAACGCCCTGGACATGCGAGATTGTCGGCAACACCAACCCAAGCCCAACTCCAGCTCCAACTCCGTCGCCATCCCCGGTGCGGCCCGTGCCTTCGCCCGGTCCAGGACCCTCGGGTGCCTTCCGCACTTCAGAAGTCGGCTCCAGCAAGGACCGCCTCTTTGAGTTTGTTCGGGTGCTGACCAATCAGCCCGTTTCAGGCTCCAAGGCTCGCGCAGTGCAATCTTCTGGCGGAGCAGCTGGGGGCATCGTGTCCGAGAGTCAGGGCTATGGCCTCCTCCTTGCAGGGACGCTGCTGGCTGCCATGGACTCTGATTCGGATTTTGGCCGCGTCTCCGAGCTTACCTACGAGCTTTTCCTCGGATGGCGCCGCATGTGCGAGCTGAGCGCAGCGGGCGGCAGCTGTCAGGACGATGAGGGTTTCCAGTGTGGCGGTGGCCAATACCCGTGCCTCCCACATTGGAAGTTCGGCGAGGATTTGACCCAGGTCGTCGGAAAGGGAGCTGCGCCAGATGGGGACGTCGACGCCTTGTTGGGCATGTTGTTGGCTGTGTTGGCTCTGGAAGGCACAAGCCGCGAGCCGGCCTGGCTCGGCGAGGTGGGCCAGTGGGCCTACGACACCTGCAAGCAGTTTTATCTCAGCTCCACCGTGGCCTCCCCAAGTGGCCAGACGCAAGGGCAGAACCCCAGCTACCACGCGCCCGGTGTCTACCGGCTCTGCCGGGACTACATGGCCTCTCACGATGAGAAATACGGCGGGTCCTCCACGGAGGGCGATGGCTTTGCAAGAGATTGGGAGACGCTCATCGCCACGAGCTACAAGATGCTTGCGGCCACGCAGTGCCCTTCGACGGGATTGGTCCCGAACTGGGCTCAGATCTTCGAAGATGGACGCCGACTCCGGGCTCAGACGGGCTTCAGCGGCAGCGGCACGCCGGGTGCGGAGTTCGGCGCCGAGGCGTCGCGGACCATCTGGCGAGTGGTGGTGGACTTCCTGCTGTATCCTTCCGAGGCGCGCCCAGCCGCCGACTTCCTGAGTCCGGTTGCCAAGCACTTGGGGAAGAAGGAGAACTCTGGGCGATGGGCGTCTTCCCTGGATGTGGATGGCGCTTGCCTGGTGGAGACCATCCACCCAGGATGGCAGGTTAACATGTTCATGGCGGCGCCCACCTTCGCCAGCCTCGTCTGCCCAGCGGAGCTCGAGGGCGGCAGACAGCAGGAGCTTCTGGACTCGGCCGGCAGGCTCTTGGCCAGCAAGCGCATCCGGGACTACTACTCCGGCAGCTGGGTGGCCATCAGCACCATGACTCTCAACGGCGACCTGGCCAAAGCAGCCGCCAATGCTAAGATCGGTTCGGCAGCACGCTCCGCCTCGGCGCCCGTGAAGCTGATCTCTTGATTGCATGAGCATGACCTCTTCGTAGAGAGTCTCAAGAATGCGTGGAGTATAGACAGTATATAGACTTGCAGAGAGACTTGTGCATCACATGAAGCAGCTGTCCCTGCGGCAGCAGCCAAAGTGAAATTCGTCTGATGCTTGGGTGGCGGGCAGGAAGATGCGAAGACGCGAAGGCTGCAAGCCTGCCAAGATGTTGGAGTGCATCTGGGATGATGTTGAGTTTTCTTCCCTTCCTGCCTTGTGCCGTCAGTTTTGTTCACCCTGGAGCACAGACCTCCGCGGTGAAGGCAAAGAGCCCCGCTCACCGAGATCCCCGGACCTTTCTGACCGAAGTTTTTTACGAAAGACGAAAGCGAAAGGCCTTCGGATTTCGGAGTCAGCGGGGCCAGGCCTTACAGAAGCCCGCCGGCAATGGACCTGGCAACTGCCGTCCAGGTGCCGCAGCGCGTGCGTGCGCTTTTTGCGGCCGGAACGGTCGAAGCTTCGGGCAACGCGCATGGAAAATCTTGGTCTCTTTGATGATTTGACGTTTCTAAGACTACAGCCCGCAGCGACAGCACGGATGCCAATGCTGAGGATGGCAGAAATGGGTCTAAGCAGAGCGCTTGGCTCTCCCAGCGGTGCCCTGCGAGGGTCCCAGTCGTACGGATGAAAGTTATACTCGTAGGACAGTTGGCAGGAAGAGGGAATTCTTACGCAGGAATCCAGGACAAGTCACATCGATCTTTAACACGGCATGTGTCATCGACCCGACCGCCCACCAGATGGAGCAGGAAAGCCAACCTTGTCAAGGGGTATAAATGAAGGTTCGGGTCGGTGTAAGCCACTGGTGACAGGGATGGAGCAGTGTTATGCAAGGAAAAACGTTAAATTATGCCAGCGATGAACACACCCTTACTGAAAACGGGAGTGTAAATCCAGCTTGAGCTCCTTTAAACGCCCCCAGAACAGGAGACATTGTCGTCATGTCCGGCCAAGGCTGGCCAGAGCGGAGCAGTGAGTGCGGCCTCTGTTCATGTTTCGGCCAACCGGGCAGCACGGACCGCCGGCGAAAAGCCTTGACCCCGAACAAACAAGCGTATACTTCGTTCTGCTTTCCCAGGGGCAAAGCAGAACAAAGCACACTTGTTGTTTGGTTACCTGTAACAGTTGCACGGATAGATTAGAGCAGGCGCATGTTGGCAAACACAGCAGTCCGTTTTTGGGCGTGATGCAGGTGTTTTCATGGGCCATTGCCGATATATGCCAAATTGCAGTGTGCCAGCAAGACATCGAATGTCTTATCAATCATTCCATGTGTGCGTCAGGCAGCCATCCGTTGGAGTTTGATCGGATGAGAAGCGCAAACCGGTTTTCTGCTGTTTGTATCGCCAACTGTACGCTTAGCCTTCGGCTCGTCCTCATGTTGGGGCCGAGCGACAAGGGTTGCAGACCAGCTGTCATGAACGAAGATGAAGGACGGGCTTTGTTGTGTACACACGCGCATCTATTACGGTACGGCCTCTAACCAAGCATGACTGTTGATACCATGCTTGAAGCCACTGACATGATGTCAAGCTGCTGTGTGGCTACAGAGCTGTTGGCAAAGGTTCAGGCGGTAGTGCTGAGTTCTACCGCTTGTTTGTCACACTGCAGCCTGAGAGTATTGTGCTCTAAGGCTTGATTACGTTTAGTCATCTGCGCAGCTGCCACCTTATCGTCATTGCTCTGCTGGGCAATCCGTGCATGTATGCAAGCTGCCAAAACGGTCAGCTTGTCATCGACCTCTGCTTTCGTCCAAAGCTTAATTGGATGAGTGGCAGTACAGTACACTCAATTACAAGTTCTTTGGCGCGGCAGCCCCACTAGCAGAATTTGGATGCAACGGGAGCAAATCGCCGCCTCAGTGAGCTGCAACAACAAAAACTGCAACTAAGACTACGCAGCAGTCGGGCCCAAATCGTTCGTCTCCATGCCGGGTGGGCACAGTGCGGCCATGATGAAGGTGGGAAGAAGTATTTAAGTATTGATTGCAATCTGTCCAAGTTAACAGGCCTTCCGCAGTTGATCTCTTTTGCGCCACTGCTACTTGTGTGATAGGCTGTTGTTATCGTCGGGCTTGTGGGTAGATGTTCGTCGGAGTACGCGCATATTATATCTCAGCGTCTGACACTGTAGAAGATCAAGCTGGTTTCACGACCTGTGATGTACAGTTCTTTTGAGGTACTGTTGTAGCGATTGCTGTTGCAGGAACAATTAATTGGTGATGCTTGCTACTGGTGGCGGAGGGGTTGTGGTGCCAAAGCTGCTGCTCTCCTGCTCGTGTTGCCGTCGCATTTGCAGTCGTCCTTGTTATCGTAAGATTCATTGTCGTGTTGGTTGTGATCTCTTGTGATATTCATGAGTTAAAAGTACTGCGTGCTGATAACACAAGTGATAATTCAGCGGCGAGGAGAAGGAGCAGGAGAAACGTAAAGTCTGTTGTCAGGGCCGTAGTTGCTATGCATGCAGACGAATTACGCATTGGTGTGGTGGTGAGTTCGATGGCGATGACGGTCTGTGCTGATGGTGATGGCGATGGTGATCATTGACTGATAGCTTGAGTGAGTGATTGATTGACTCTTTTGAGTGACAGTGATGGTGATGGATGATGATGATGTATCCGATGTTGATGATGACGGTGATGGTTACGATGCCTGTGATGCCGGTGATGGTGATGGTGATAATCAAAAGTGATGCTGATGTTGTTGGTGATGATGTAGGTGATGGTGATACTAGTCTATACATAGTTAGTGACAAGGATGTGTACAGGGACGCCACTGCTCACGCTCCAGCTCATATCATGTTCAATACCAGGTGCCTCAAATGCTGCGCCTGTCGCTGCGTGGCGCGCGCTTTTCCTCGACCTGGTCGCGCTTCACGGTGTGAAGCTTGAGCTCCTTCGGTTTTCCATACAGAACGCCTGTAGCTGTCCTGAGGCACCTCAGATGGTCTACATTGCCGGCGAGGAGCGAATGCAAGATCTGCGATTGATCATATGAGAGGCACCCAGCATATGCACAAGCAGGTGAAGCAGGTGTGAAGTACGGATGACTTGGAGAAACTTGTATGGATTTCTGCCAGATTCGTGAATTCGCTGTGAGATGGATGGGGAGGAGATGTCGCGGTACACCATGGAGCTGATCATGAAGAAGTGGGTGGAGCCATCAATTGACACCTCCAAGTGGGAGTTCTACGACCTTAGCTGTAAGGCCCCTCCTTGCATCGGGCTGATTCGAGCAGCCTCCGTTTGTGCGTTCTTCCGGGACACCTATGCATCTAGGTACATGCAGCCGGGAGTACACGATTCTGCACGTCTGCAGCAGAAACGACTAGCATGCAAGGGATCCATCCACTTGCTGTGCGAGATTTAGAAGCGGGCGAATCATAATCAAATGCCGACATCGGGACAGAGGAACAGATCATCCTCGTCGTACCGCATGATCGCCATACGAGCTGTACATGATGGATAGTCGTCGCTTTTTGCCACATGTTCTGCTTCTTCGACAGCGCTAACTGCATGAGTGTGAGCCAGAGAGAGTTTGCAAGCAAATCATTCCTGATTTGTTGGGTTTTCCATTTGCTTCCTACTGTGAACATCTCTCCACAGGACGAAACTACGATGCACCGACAAAGGCAACCACTAATGTAACAGCGACAGCTTTCGTTGTCGCGTATTCAACATTCTTATGTTTCCTATTGCAAACCACATGGGATGGAGTGGTTTATTGCCGACTCCGATGACCTGGTCGAACCAGCACAAAAGTTTGCCAGGTCGGGGTTGAGCTGAAAAAGATACCGGGAGTCCGGCTGAAATACAGAGACCGATACTTCCTCGGTGCAGAAGTCATGGCTGACTGCAGGCACGCGACCAGACGAACGACCAAGTCCTCAAGGAGCATGCAGTGAATGATACAAGTAGCACATAGCAGCAATAAGGATAGCATCTCAGGGTCTTGCTGCCATGCTTCGGCTAGTTCTCTCCCGCAACATCCTGCGAAGCAGCAGCCCTGTATCCCAGCAGTCTAAGCACCCAGCGCCCCGTCAAACTTCGATGCCCGGATTCGTTGTGTAAAGCATTGCCAGAAGAAGCAGAGCCGGGACATTAGGATTGTCTGTGTTGCAGTCGCTCAGTGCATTCCTGACTTGCTGTCGACCATGCTTTTTTGAGGTCGAACAAGCCAAACCCCAAACCTACAATGCCACAGCCACATGCCAAGCTCAAAATCCCAATCCCAAGCCCCCTATAGAGTCCTGGACGTGCGCTCGAGAGCAGCTCTTTAGGATCCGGCAGCAACAGGCTTAGAGTTGGCGGCACGCGCACGACCCGTGCATCGGAATTCTTGAGCAGGAGTCTTCAGTGCATGACAAGCACAGGTCAAGCTGCCCGGTACCGTAGCTTGGCATTGGGGATCCTGGTACCTTCGGCCTTACAGACAGAGCAATGGCCGCGTCGGTGCAGTGCAGCAACACAAAGCTGGTAGTACGTCATCCTTTCTGTTCTCAGCATGCTGGTGGGAGTTGTGAAAGGCGCTCACTGGCCCATGGTGGTCTGTGCATCGGTATCCGTGCTCCTATTCCTCCTGTTATTCGTCGTCGTGTTCACGAAGACCACAGCTGCACAGGATAGGACCGACCCCACCAATGCCATGGAGATGCAGAAGGAGCACCATTGCGTTTGGGCAGCTTGCAAGTTCGGAGAACTGGAAGCTACTGGCACCAGCCCGGTCTTCAGCCTCCTTTCGGTCAAGAACGACACTGGTGGCCCCAGCGACCCTAGCGACCTCGACGCAAATGTCGTTACATGGACCAGGCTGACAACAGTTGGGCACAGGCTGACAGGGGCCATCTCTCGTCAAAGGGCTTGTGCCTGTTGCTTGGAAGACTATCACATGGACAGCGATGTTGCTCTCCTTCCCTGCGGCCACGTGTATCACCAGGAGTGCATCGCTCGCCGGTGCGTATCGGGGAAGGCAGCATCATGCCCCACTTGCCGAACATCTTTCGATCAAGTGTCCGAGACGATCATGGGAATTTAGGTTTAGGTCGACGGCCATATTCACTGCAGTGCAATCTTGGCCTCTCGGCCGCGGCATGTTTAAAGTCGCTCTCGGTCTCGAGCGTGTGAGAGTGCGGCACGGCCTTCTTTGCAGCAGCAAGCTGCAAGGAAGCTTCTGAACTTTTTGAGCAACCGTTTCACTGTAGCTCGCTTATCGGACGCAGTTCAGGCGTGGCTGTTCTGAGGCACTCCGCAAAGCTATTTGCTTGCCCTCCGCAGAGAGATTGAAACTCAAATGCATGTCGGCTCATCAAGTTAAGCCTGACAGCCTGAGTCCGAGCGTCTGTGGTTGATAGTTGACTGCACGCTGCAAGGTCGCAGTTGCAGGTTGCTGCTGAGCCTGTTCGAGACTTGCTACGATGAGTCGTGCAGTTGACGATCGACTGCTCCTGTGCATAAATAAACCAGACGATGTTACTGGCCTCAGAGATGCATCCCTCACCACGAGGGTGTCTGATAGCCAGGAAAGTGAGGTGGGCCCCATCGCCTGCATTCGCGTCAGGTGTCTTGAATCCCCCAAAACTGGGCCCTGGGCATGTCATTCAGACGCAGTAGAAGGAACCCACCCACCTTTGTTTGACAGACTTACCAGTTGAAGAGCCGACTGAGTGGCCATTGCGAGCCTGCTCGGAAGAAAAAGCACAGGCAAGACTACGCTGCGCCCTCAACGCCAATGAATACCCCAACCCAAAAACCGGATAACACCGGAGAAATCCGAAATGCGTTGACAAATCTGCCTACATCCATTTGTGTGATACACGCTTCTGCCTGCGGTGTCCCAGCAATGCCGAAAGTCTCTTCTCCGGGGCTCCCCGGCAGGACGCTGTGGCGGCCGGTGCTCGCATCGGCTCGATCTTCAAAGAGCCAACGCCTCGGCTTTCGTAACAACAGCGCTGTGAATGCTACGAGTAGACAAGGAGCACACCGTACATACGAAGACAAATTCTCCTCTGGAGTCTTGCGTTACTTGGTGGGTGACACCACCACCACCACAGCATAAGCAACCAGAAATGGAACCACAGCAGCAGCAGCAGCAGCAGCAGAAGCACCCATCAACCCCCGACTCTCGTTGGAATCTTGTGGATCCTTTCCGACACTTGTGGATTTCTGCTTATTCGCAACGAGGCGGATCGACAGGGCAGTCGTTGAGATGTGTTTTGTGCTGGAAGTCTGAGGCCCACCATCACCCCGACCAAGGAGCAGTTGCCATCTCAGCTGTTCACCTTGTGCGCCGTGCCCGTGCGGGCACAGTTGCCGATGGACATGGCTTAGTGGCTTAGTGGGAGGCGCGCAACTCAGCGACGCGGCGGCGGCTCGAGCAATTAGTCGAACTTCCTAGCTGCAGCTTCAATCGCACAACATCTCTTGCTAGCCATGGCGTCCTGCCTCATGGTTGGGTTGACCCTGGCACTCCTGGGCCCGGGCTTGGCTTCTGGCGCCGAGAGCTGCAGCTCCACAGCGGGGTCGCTGATGCTGCAAGCCCGGCGAGGTCTCCACAAACACGCGGTGAGCGAAGTGGTGACGGCGTCCATGGGCCTTTGGACCGACGATGCCTCGGCTTTCCAAGGTGGCTCCTGCGAATACGCCAGCGCATCGCAAGGTGGTCTTGAGTCGCCGTCGGCCACAAGCAACTACCTGGAATCCCGGGCTGTTTGCCTGGCCAACCCTGCGATCTACGGCGGCGGAGTCGCCTGTGGCTCCTGCTGGAAGGCTGAGCGAGAGGGTCAGGGCAGCATGGTGGTGCAGATCATCGGGTCTCATGGAGGCTCCAACAACTTGGACTGCTTCTCCGACGCCTTCCGCACCATCGCCGGTGCGGACGCTGGCACTTTCGAGGTCCGCCTTGAGCCCGTCGAGTGTGAGGTGAATGGCGCAGGGCCAGTGGCGACCATCGTGGATGGGGACAACGCCTGGTACACACGAGCCATCTTCTCCAACTTGCCTCATGCCGTCCTGGCTGCCTGGATATCCGTGGATGGGAAAGCGACGGAGATGCGTCGTGTATCGGGAGCGACTTGGGAGGCCAACCTCGGAGGTGGTGGCTCTGTTGTTGGTTTCAAGGTGAGCCTGGAGAGCGGAACGGAAATGGCCTTCCGCGACTGCTTCAGCTCGTGGCCTGTGGCGAAAGGTAGTTCCTGCAGCACCTCTGGCTCCGGGCCCTCGCCGGCCCCTGCTCCTTCTCCGACTCCGAGTACTCCAACTCCGGCACCCTCTCCGACGACGACCAAGTTGACCACGACCACCGCGATGGCCACCACCACCACCACGGCTCCAACTCCAACTCCGTCGCCCGCGGAGTGTGCTGTTCCAGGCGACGACTGCCGCGATGCCGGCTGCTGTCAGCAAGCCGGGCAGACCTGCTATGAGAGTGGCTACGAGATCACCTCCAGCACTTCTACGTGCACGGTGGCCACGGGGTCCGCTGTGCTGGATACCGGCCAACGGGCAGCGAAGCATCTCCGCTGTGATCCCGAGAGGATAGATGAGTTCTACATTGCGGACGGTGAGAATGGCAGCGATGCGAGGCAGGACCGGGTGAGGCGACATGTGGGTTTCTCGTCGCTGCACCACTTTGCTTCGCTAGCTGCGGTAGTTCCTAGCATGCAGGGTCACTTTGACTGGAAGCATGCCACCAGAATTGGAGAAGCGAGTCATCCTGGACCCTCTGGTGGAGGGTCGCGAGCGACAGCCCGCCGTAGGGCTGAGATGGATGTAGATGCTGAGGAGACTGGCGGCTTCGGCGGCCTTGCTGGCCTGCTTAGGCCCATGCTGGAGACCTTGATTCGTGAACTGCTTCAGGAGCTCCTTACTGAGGGGGGGCTCAAGGGCATGATTGCTGAGATGTTGGGTGGCCGGGTTCCAGCCACTTCATCGCGGGCTCCTTCGGCGGCACACTCTGCGGGTGAGGTCGTGCCGGACGAGGGGGCTAACAAGAAGGGGCGCTGGGACAAACGTCGCGGCGATGATGATGACGCGCAGCCCAAGGGCAAGGGCAAAGGCAAGAACAACAGCGGCGAGCAGGCCAAGGGCAAGGGCAAGAACGACCTGTCCAAGGGCAATGGCAAGGACCATGGCGGCGATCAGGCCGGCAAGGGTAAGAGCAACAATGGCGACCTGTCTAAGTGCAAGGGCAAGAACAATGGTGGCGAGCAGGCGGGCAAGGGCCTTGGTTCCAGACCGGATGCTGCCGATGGTGCTGAGTGGACGGTGGTCGGGCCTGCCAAGAAGCAGGCCGAGTGGCAGCTTCGTGGTTCTGATTGGACTGAGGCTGTCATGACTTATGATGCGATTGGGGCTGCCTTTGGCAGCGATAGCAATGATGCTGTGAAGGGCGTGGTGCTCGCATCGGACGAGGAGTTCGACACCCTCAAGACTTTGCTGCGCGGATCCTCTAAGGCACATGGCGTGCTGCTGGTGCATCAGAATAAGGATGCCTCCCAACGGTGTCCCGGCGTGATTGGCAGCAAGCTGGTCATCAGGACGGTGGACTTCCACAGGTCCTACACTCCTGGCTTGGTCGCTCCCCAGCCTAGGGCTGCGGCGGCGGCACAGAAGTTGGAACCGAAGCAAAGCTCGGTGGTCTATGCCAGGTTCCTCCAGAAGTTCATGCCAGCCGATAAATGGAAGGAGATTGTGAAGCAGCCGCAGCGGGCCTTTCATGGGTTCCTGGCTCAGCATCGTCTTCGTGCTTTGGACAGCTGGGGCTGGCAGATTGAGCAGGTGCAGGCCACTCCTTACCAAAAGGTCTTTGGCTGCGGGCGGCTGCTCAACACTGACGTGGAGACCCTCTTGAGCCTGAGTGGGGAAAATGGCCTCTTCTTTGACGTGGCCCGTGGGTTTCCCTTGGGTCCGGTGCAAACGGAGTGGCATAGCCAACAGGAGAGCGAAAATGCCACCGAGTTCCTCAACCGGCTCCTCACGATCCCTGCCGACTTCGGGCTCATCGCGGGTGCTAAGCAGATTGGCAAGCGGCTCCGGCGGGACCCCAACCAGCCGGTCCAGAGGCACTGGGTCATCGATGGTGTTCCTCGGGATGTTAGTCCAGATGATCTTCGCACGGTGCTTCAGGCAGGTCACTTTGAGGATGTGGAGATGACGTTGCAGCGCAGGCACGGCAACTTGATGGCATATCATTTTCGTGCTAAAACTTTGCTGACGGCGGACAGTCTTGCTGTGCCGCTTCTCCTTGGGGATGTGGAGCTGGACCTGTGGGCTCGCATTGCCCCCCCGAAAAGGGGCCGGGGCACTACGCAGACCATTGCGACTTCTGGTGCTTGGCGACTGGAGGCTCCGCGCTCAAAATGGTCTACCGAGCGAGTTGCTGTGGAGCTGGATGATGAGGTCGAGGAGGCGTCTGCGGGTACCCTTGTCATCAACCAGGGTGCGGATACCAGCGATGATGCCACCATGAAGGCGGGCGCTGGGACTACTGAGGAGTCTGCTCCCAAGGAGGCTGAGGCGAAGGCGGCTGGGACTGAGAAGGTGGAGAAGAAGGATGCTGGGAAGCGTGGCGGCGCGGCGACCGGGTCGGCTGCGAAGCGAGCTGCTGGGGTGCAGCGTGCTCTCCCTGAGGGGGCCAAGGTCACCAAGATCGAGAAGGACGGTAACTGCCTTTTCAGTGGCCTTGCAAAGGGCATCAACAACTTGAAGCCTTCCGGGCACCAGCTCACTGGAGCAGAAGTCCGGGCGAAGATTGCGGTGCATCTTCGCCGCAACGAAGATAAGTACGCTCAGGAGTGGGACAAAGAAATGCCCAATAGGTCCAAGGCCGAGAATTGGGAAGCCTACGTGAGTGCGATTGAGGTTGATCAAACTTGGGGAGGACTCCCAGAGATCCGTGCAGCGAGTCGCATATGGGACGTGAGATGTATCATTTTCCCCACGTCCCAACACATTGAGCCCTTCCATGTCCACGGGCAGGCTCGCAAGCGGGTGCTGGCGCTGCTTTTTACAGGCAGCCACTTTGACCTCATCGAGGGTGACAATGGATCTCTCCCGAAGGCCCTTCTGAGCATCAAGGCCCCACCGACTGCTGTCCCGATGCGGGGCGGCGGTCGTGATGATGATGCTGCCTCTGTGTGGACGCGATCCTCTGCTTGCTCTTCTGCTGTCGCTGCCTCGGTCTGGTCCAAGGGCTCCGCGGGGACTTTGGCATCGGCTCAGGCGCGTTCTTTTTCCGGAGAATTTTTCTGAAACTTCTAAGCGGGCGTCTACGGTGGCTTCTGGGCCAGCACCTCCGGTGACTTCCTTGCGGGTTGCTTCGGTGACCTCCAAGCGGGCTTCTTCGGTGTCTTCCAGGCGGGCCGCTTCAGCTGCTTCGGTGTGGACCCGGGAGCCTGCAACTGAGGATCCTGACAACACTTCGAAGCCGCCTAGGTCGGTGGGACGCTGTGGGATGCGTACCCCTTCCCTTGCCTCAGCCGGCGAGTGCCTGGATGTTGTTGAGGATGCGACTGCCGGCGAGCCGTCGGCGAAGCGACGGGCCTACTTGGCGCGGGGAGCCACCTTCAACCCGGCCCTCCAAAAGGATGGGTCCTTCCGCGAGCCCTGCAGCTACTGTGCCCATGTGCATGTGGGCCGCACCAGTGTTGAGCTTGCCACCAAGCGCTACCGGCATCACAAGCGGTGGCACAGCGATCTCCCCAGGACACATGGACGTGCTCCCCCTAAAGTCCTGGAGTTGTGTGAAATTCGACCAGAGGAGCCGGCTGATTGGCGATGCCCCATCTGCTTGATGGGCTTGCCTGTGGGTGCCAAGGCCAAGGTTTCGGCAAAGGCGTTCATCGCTGCCAAGGAAGAGCACCGTCGCCGTGCGCATCGGCACTTGTCTTGGGCCGCCTTCAACTCCAGGTGCTTGGGCAGCAACAATCAGCAGCATGGCGCCCGTATGAGGTGCCGAGTTCGGGCGCTTAATGTGAATCGGGCCAAGCGAGCTGTTAAGAGTGCCAGCTCCCCGTCGATTGAGCGTTTTGTTCCGTTCACTTGGCCTATATTGTGCTCAACAAGAGTAAGAAAGAGCGGAGGGAACGCCGTGGCATCAAGCGCTTGATCTTTGCCACGGCCTGGCGGTGCCGACCTGCGTGGGATGCTGGCAGAAGCCTGATCAGGCTATCCGGCACAAGTGCTCAACTGTGACCGACTGTAGCAAGGTTCGGGCTGCTAGGCTGACTAAGGCTCGGAGACTTTCGGCATCCATTGAGCA